CGCTGCGAGCGCTGCTGGCAAGCGCAGCCGAGCCCAGCGCCCGTCCTGGCGCTGCACGGGCAGCGCTGTCTGCGCTCGGCATCAGACGTGCTGCGCTCTGGGACACCTCGGCTCTCCCCCTCGGAGCAGGGAAGCGCCTGGTGGTGTCGGGCTCTTGTTTTACCCCAGGGTTCTCCCTGAGAGGGAGGCCCCAGCACTGAGCTGATACCCTGAAGCTGGTTGGGGGTCCTGTACTGGATCAGGAACAGCACAGCAGTCAGACACGAAGGTTTAGCATAACTTTCATGGGTTTAGGCTGGGTTAAAGAGCTGACTTGCAAGCACAAAGACCGGCTTTATGCTGCCATGAATAATGGCTATGTCTTTACCTTCCCTGGAGGTCTCCTGCCTCGGTTCTCAGGCCCCGCAATGCGTTTAGGTCAGGGTAGCTCTCGGAGGACTGCTCAGCCCAGCGTGGAGGCTCCCGATCTGGGTGCAGAAGGCAAACGCCCCGGCCCTCCTGGCGGGGAGTGCGCGCTGGGTTAGCGGAGGCTGCCTGATGAGAGGCTTTGCCTGCCCTGCCCAGGCTTAAGCACAGCCTTGCTCTGCTTTTAGCCAGCCTTGAGGCTTGGGCACTGCTCGCGCCCGGCACCGCTGAGCCCCCCCGGCCATGGGCTGCTGCGCCAAGGCCCTTCCTGCCCACGCGCAACCTGCCCTGGCCGGGGACACGGCGCTCCTGGGCGCTTCCTACGCGGCTCCCGATTTGGAAGGAGCTAGGAGCGGTTGCGGCTGTTGCTCTAATGTTTGCCAGATGTGCTGAGCGCCGCTGGGAGCGGCAGTGCCGTTCATGGTGCCCCCACAAGCACTGGCAGGAGTGAGAAGGGCTGTCACCCTGGGCCTCCAGCACATCCTTCAGCGGGCAGCCTGAGGCCAGCTAGGAGAGAAAGCAGTAATTTGAACTCTTCTTCCGTGCTAATCTCTTGATATGATCTTTGTTAGGAAACCTTGTTTCTACACAACAGGTAACTCAAGAGCTGGGTCTGGAAGCAGCGACTTGCTCCTCACAGATCCTTGCTCCTTTCCCAATTGCTCCTTTCTCAAGTGTGCCAAGTCACCCCGGCTGCCAGGGCCGCCTGGGGAGGAGCAAGGGAGGTTGGGGATGGCCACAGGTCCTGTGTGTGCACTGGTTCCTTCTGCTGTAGAGATGC